ATAGGTGGAGTTTGACACAAACTCCCGGATATCCCTCCTCAATACGCCTAAATACCGGCTCATCCGTGACTGCTCTGTAGACACCAGCTCCGGGCAGAACATCGCCCTCTCGTGAAACTTTGTGTGGCCACTGCAACGGAATCAGTACCCTGCTTAAGGGTCAAGAACTCCTGAATCAATCGTTCCCTCTCCACTGGGGGAACGTACTCGTCCCTGAACATCTCAGTAAACCTCTCCCATGTCACCGCTGTAATCTCCGCCAGAGTGAAGTTCGCCGTCACGAACTTCCACCAATCCTTTGCTCCCAGACGGAGCTGGTTCAAGGCAAACCGTACCCTCAGGTGCTCCGGGCATGAGCAAGTGTAGAAGCACCCCTCAATGTCGGCGATCCACCTCATCGCAGCAATCGGATCCTGCGTCCCATCGAACTCAGGGGGTTTCGTGTTGCTGAATTCCCGGAACAGCAACGAATCGCCCCCTTGCAGCCTGGCAGCGGCCACAGCTGCGGTAGCGGCAGCGGCTGCAGCCTCAGTCAGTGCGGCGTACCGCTCCTCAAACGTCTCCATCAGTGTGGTCTTAATAGACCCAAACATCTCCGGGATCTCAGCCCGGATCGCTGCAGCTACCTCCTCCTGAATCATGTGACGGGGATATCCTCGTCGCTCACACTGCTCGAACTCGCCCCATGACGTGTGGTAACCATGATGTCTCTGAAATACAACATAAAATTATCAGAGACTCCATCAAGTACAATTGTACTCGATAACGCAACCCTACTCAGTCTCTGATATCCAGGGATTATTACTTGGGTCTTCCACCGACCCGGTGTCTTTGGTAGTACGGGCCCAATACTACCGACCACACCGTGTCAGTATTCGTCCCAAATCTTTCTCCCCAAACCCCGAATAGTGAGTACTCTACCTCTAGTATGCACTATCTACCTGCACGCTGTCGAATATCTCATATAAACAAACTCCCTAGACTAAGGCATCACAAAACAGGCCATTCTAGTCCTATCATGAATACCTAGTCTTCTAGCATGCATAACAATTCATAATTCAGTGCATAACATAACATTGTAAGGTATTCTGGGGATCTTTACCGTTCGGGCGCTGGCTGATCGTACACACTGCTCCGTTCTTGTTTACCACTTTACCACTTATAAAATTTCATGTCTTTATTATTTTAAAAGATTTTTCCTCAAATCCTCGGTTTGAGTTCAGTTACACCCGAAGGTACACCCGAATCCCTCAAACCAAGGCTCTGATACCAATTGTAACGACGCAAATTTTCAAATAAATTTTTCATTTTAAAATAAAGTGATTTCATTCAACCAATAGTATTTATTCCATGTTTCATATCAAATACATATATAAAATCCCCAAGATCTCAAATAGCAGCAGTGTGTATGCATCATGCCGGCGCCTTCCCACGGTCCTCGCTAGTACCTGAAACACATACATAACAACTTGTAAGCATAAATGCTTAGTGAGTTCCCCAGTATACTACTTACGCATATACGCCTTTCCAGGCCTTGAGATAATCGCCTTCCGGCCCATAACATATTGCCTTCCGGCCCATAACATAATGCCTTCCGGCCCATAACATATTGCCTTCCGGCCCATAACATATTGCCTTCCGGCCCATAAACATACACAGCAATTTATACATTAATCTTAACATATATAGCACATATATCATATATCATATCCGACCTTTCAGTCACATAACATGTTGCCTTCCGGCCCGTATAACACACATAACACACATAGCAAATATCATTCCATTTATAGCACGTATAACACAAATCATATCCGACCTTCCGGTCACACAGTCAAACCCTTCCGGGTACAGTATAGTGAGAAGACTCACCTCGTGGTAATGAAAACTATCAACTCTTGAATTCACTCGCACTCGATCCGCCGATCTGCAGACTCCCTATAATACCATATACCCTTATTAATACTCTTATCATTCAAGACAACTGACCCTAAGAAATTATATGCAGGTCAACTCTGGCCAACGGTCAACTGGACCGGACTCGTCGAGTGCAAAGGTGACTCGACGAGTCGAGACGTCCTCTCCAACTTTCCCTGATGTTCCCTTTCTACTCGTCGAGTATCCCCCTTGACTCAACGAGATCCACGTGGAAGAATCGCGGGGCCACCCCGACTCCACTCGCCGAGTCTGAAGAACAACTTGGCGAGTCCCAGTGAATCTTCAAGCTACTCGCCGAGTCTGTTCATTGGACTCGGTGAGTCCATGCCATGTAGTCGATCAACTGCTTCCTGAAATACGTATGGTCCCGAAATACACAATCATGGGACTTTCTGCACCTCTAAACATCCTATTACTGGGGTATAAACGTTTGGGTAACAACATAATAATCCATCTAATCACCAAATGGGTTTCATAAACCCTGAATCCGTGTACACATCAAAATAACAGGAATGATCCGAAGTATTACCTGAAAAACGTACTCTCTGTGTCCCCAAACCTCAGAACTCGATCCCCTTGATCTTCCTTTGGCCAAAACCCTTCCTCTTCTTGCCTAACAAATTCTTCAAGGTTCCAATAGCCTCTAATCTTGCTCTAGATGTCCACAGACGCTTAGGGTTCTTCTCAATCGGCTAAAAGACGGACAATGACGGCATATGGGGCGTTATATACGATCCAAAACCAAATGGCTAGGGTTTCTGCTGAACAGCGTAGACTCGCTGAGTCCAGTCGCGAACCCGCGACCCAGTCTGTGGTCCTACTCGGCGAGTCTGGCTCCAACTCGCCGAGTCCCTTCCAAAAATGCCCCAAAAATAGTTTTAAAGCAATACCTGAAATTCCGGGCTGTTACACAGTTAGTTCCGGACTTCGGTCCGATGTAGGGGACAAGGTCCCAGTCAGTTCCGGACTTCGGTCCGATGCAGTTTCCGGGCTTCGGCCCGATGCAGTGGGCCAGGCCCAATATGTGTTTATATGATACTGTATGGTATGTGGTAGTTTGGGGGAGCTCACTAAGCTTCGTGCTTACAGTTTCAGTTTTGGTTTCAGGTACTTCCGCAAGCAAAGGGAAGAGCTCGGGGTGATAGCATCGCACACACCACAACTTAGCTTTTATCCTGGGGATGGTTTTAGTTGTCTTGATTTGATATAGTATGATACAGTTTTTCCGCACAGTATTTTATTATGATTTGGGATACATCGCGTATGTTTTTATGTTATGATACTCAGATTATGGTTTTGATTACATTGAAAAACAAAATTTTTGGGTCGTATTTTTGGGTCGTTTCACATGTAGAATGGGGCAATGGGGCAGGTAGATGTGATGGTGATTGACAAAGATTAACTTCAAGCTAGTACCAAACCAAGGGGGAGATTGAAGGGTCTAATTAATAGTTTGGTCTAGGCTTTCGTTGTAATAGGTTCTTTTGTGTATGAATGCAATTTTGGTAGTCTGTTTGTAGTTTACGGCCGTAAACCCAGTGTCGGCCTAGGTCACTATATATAGAGGTCTTGTAGGTCATTTAATGGTTGTTGATGCCGCAGAGTTCACGGTTGCTATAAACGAGTTGTACCAGACGTTTTTCGTTAATAGAAGCGTGTGCATGCTTGTTCTGATTTTTGTATCTACTTCATTCTCATTATTATTGATTGTTTTGTTTGTTTGATCACTGGTAAGATCCGTTTCAGGACCTTATAGAAGTAGCACGTTATTAAAAAAATTAATGTCTTATACACCAAAATTCTAATTTGACATTGCGTATTTTTTATCTTAAATTTGACACTGTATTTTCTAATTTTTTACAATTCTAACAACTTGACCAGTCAACCTGATTACCTGCTGACGTGGCATGATGACATGTCAGTTTTGATGACGTGTCAAAATTGATTTTTTCTCACAAAAGACACTGAGTTTTCACTTTTTTCAAATTTGACACTAAGATTAATTTTTTATTTCAATTTTGACACTTTATTTATTTTTTCAAAACCAACATCACTTTTTTTCAATTTTGTTCATTTTCCATTTGAAAACCGTATAAATATTTTTTTAATACATTTTAAACCGTATAAATATATTTTTTCATTTAAAAGCCACATTTTTTATATATATACAAGGTTTTTATTATTTAACATTCAAACCATAATTTTATGTATAAATATGTATTAGATGTATAAAAATCGTATTTTATATTAAATACGCAACTTTAAAATAAGTTTTGGGGTTTGTAGTCATATAGTCGATCAAGGTCCAGAGGTCAGGTTTGCAACCCGTGAAATTTTTATATTTTATTCAAAGTTTATGGTTAGTTTGGTTCTCATGATATATATATGCATATTTATGCATAACATTATGCTTTTAATGTCAAAAAAAACTTTGTATTTATATAAAAATGTGATTTTTAAACGAAAAAATGTATTTATATAGTTTAAAATGTAATAAAAAATATATTTATATGGTTTCAAACGGAAAATGGTCAACATTGAACAAAAGTTTTTTAAAAAAATGATGTTTGATTTGGAACAAAAAATAGAGTGTCAAAATTGAAAAAAAAAATTAAACTTAGTATCAAAAATAAAAAATGAAATCTTAATATCTTTTGTAGAAAAAAAATCAATTTTGATAGCATGTCAGTCATCAACATTAACATGTTATCATGTCATCTCAACAGTAATTGGATTGTCCAATCAAGTTGTTATAATTATAAAAAATTAAAAAACCTAGTATCAAATTTGAGTAAAAAAAAAACATAATATTAAATTAAAATTTTGGTATAAACTTAATGTATTTTGTATCATTTATATTATTAAAAAAAAGTGTGTTAAAATCAGAAAAATAAAAAATAAAAAACATAATAATTTATATATCCAAGAATTAGAATGTCATATTCAACTTCTTTTTGATGAAATTAGTAATCTCTCGAATTAGAATGTCAGATTCTCCGGTGATACATAAAAACCAAACCCTAATAAAGTCGTAACCAATATCGGTGTAAATCAAAATCAAAATGTCGGGGGAGATCGGGTTCCATATCCAAGAAGAAATCCTGAGAATGCTTCCTGTAAAATCATTGCTTCGGTTTAGATGTGTATGCAAAGCATGGAGGTGTTTAATCGACAGCTCTTATTTTCTTGCTGCTCACACCGTTGGTCAAGATCAGTGGCAGCATCTGTTTGTAAGGTATCTGGTAAGAGGGAGGCCACACTATATTTGTGTCGTCGATGATGACACTTTCCCCCGACAGAGGTCTGTTCCGACTCTTCCCCTCTCCATTAAACTGCTTACAAGGTCAAGGGTGGTCGGTAGCTGTAACGGGTTGGTGTGCTTGGATGGGTATTATGATGATCCAGATAAATCTCAAAAGCCGATGGTTGTACTTTGGAATCCTTCAATCAGAAAATCAATTGCTATCGCTGTGCCTGTGCTTTTGTCTGGTATGAATCATTGGCTAGATGAAACAACTTTTGGTTTTGGTGTTTGTCCTGCTACTAATGATCCTAAGATCGTCATGATTCCACAACTTGCTCCGTTGCATGAAAAGAGCAGCAAAATTAACGACGCTCGTGAAGTTATGGTTTATACATTGAGTTCAGGGAAATGGAAAAGACTGTCTAATTCTAGTAATGTGCCGAGTAAAGCAGTCCGAGTTAGACGGGATGTCCAAGTTATTGATAGGTTTATATATTGGTCTGGTTCGCACCTGATGGCTGAAGATGGTTGTAGTTGGAGTAGATGGATTTCTAATATGATTTTGTCATTTGATATGACTAATGATACTTTTGAAGTGATAGACCTCCCAGATAGTTTAGCACTCTGCCTTCCTACTAAGGTGTGCATTTCTAAGCTAAGGGAATCTCTTGTCATATTTGAAAGTCTGGAAGAAATGTGTTCTGTATCTTTATGGATGATGGACAATGGTGTTCAAAAATCGTTTACAAAGTTATTCACCATTATTGCACAACAATATTGGTCAATTAGGGCACTGGGACTCGGGAAGAGTGGCGCACCTATAATGGAAGTGAAAGGTGTTTGTTTTGGAGAAAGTGAAATTGCGGTATATGAGCCCAAGTCACAAAGCTTTACACCTATAATGGAAGTGAAAAATGTTTGTTCTGAAGAAAGTGAAATTGTGGCATATGAGCCAAACTCACAACGCTTCAGTGCTCTTGAGATTGGTGGGATAAGGAGTTTCTCCACTGCGAATTCTTACACGGAAACACTACTTTTGCTTGGTAGGTCGGATTTGGATTGTAGTAGTTATTGACAAATGAAAAACAACAAGCAATTGAGGATGATATTTGCAGATTTGTTGAATTCTCTAGGAGCTATGCGTCTTCTTGTTGGTGCTTGGATGAACTTGTGAAGATTATCGAGTGCCAGAAGGCTATTGAACAAATTGCTTACCTTGTGTTTTATGATGTGGATCCCTCATTATTCTTTACCAAAAGCATTTCAAGCAAATAATTTACACCGCGTTCCTGAGTTCAACTTAACGAGAGAAAGGAAAGGAAAGGGGTGGAAATGAGAATAAAGGAAAAGAAATTGGTGTTCCCGAGTTTCGTTAAACGAGAAAAATGGAAGGAAGTGGAGGGAAATAGAAGGATCACTTTCCCTCCTAACTTTCCTTCCGATTTGGGAGGATTTGAAAGAACAAAATGATTCATTTTCCTTCCACTTCTCTCCAACTCGGGAACACAAAAGAAAACTTTTCCTTTCTCTTCTTTTCTCTCGTGACTTTCTTTTCTTTTCTCTTCTGTTCTTTTGTTAAACTCGGGAACGGGGTGTTCTTCTGTTCTTTTGTTAAACTCGGGAACGGGGTGTTAGTTTCACTTCAAATTCTTCCAGCATAATTAAACAACTATGGGAAGATGGAGAAAGTAAGGTAGAATAGTTGATTGATTCATTTAATGCCATACATCTTAGTTGATTATTATAGGAATATTCATCTTTTTCTTCTTTCTTGCTTGTGATAGGTTCTTAAAAACCTGAGATTCCTTGACTTCAGCTATTCACATATGAGACCCCTTGATTGTAGCTTGCTTCCAAATCTCAAGAAGTTAAATCTTACAAACTGTTGTTATTTGGTAGAATTTCATGCGCCCATCGGATCTCTAAGTTGAAACATCTCAGAGAGTTTGATCTTTGCTGCTGTGATCAACTTAAGAAATTGCCCGAAAAAGTAGGAGGCTTGAAATGTTTACAATTGTTAGACGTATAAGGTACAAGTATTAGCCATCTTCCACAAAGTATTTCTTTATTGAAAGGTTTGAAAATCTTTGGATTCAAATCTGAAGATCCATCCATATACACCTAAAAGTACAAGTCATGTTGTACTGATGATTCTAAGATGCACCAAGTATCACAGGAGAGTTGTCGTTCTATGTATGTAAAATTTGAAATTGAGATGATTTTGGTTTGTTTTTATCTATACCCAATAGTTATGTAAGACTGATGCAAAAACTGTTAACAGTACAGTTAAGTTGAGGACTTGAGATTATTATTATTTCATTTGTTTTGGGATGAAAGGAGTATTTCCTTGGGCTAATGACTTATATGTGTTATCAATTTATGTAACTCAGTAGGATTTTTAAATGTCTAGCAATTTATTCACAGGATTCAACCTTTTACCAAATTGTGCATGGATGTTTATGTGTTGTCAGTTTATGTAACTCAATAGGATTTTAAATTTAGACATGCAAAAATAAGTAAATTTCTTAATTTCTGATAAGAAATTTAAAAAAGATATGTGAACGAGTGAAAGGTTTGCCTCATCATATAAATTGGTAAAAGTATATATTTACCCTTTTTCGTAAATAACATCTGAATACTGCAAAGTAGTTTAGGGTATTATTTGCAAATAAAAAATAGTTGAGCGATTATTTATGTAGTTTTTTCAAGAGCATCTTGCCATTTGATAAACTCATGAAAAAAGAGAAAATAAAATCGGCAAAATCCCTTCCTCCACAAATGGAAATTGACGCATAGCAGAAAGAACTTTAATGAATGGGTATATAGTTTTTAGGGGTGAGCAAAAACCGAACCGACTAAAGAAAAACCGACAAAACCGCAATAAACCGCAACCGAAAAACCGAAACCGATGCAAAAACCAATGGTGCGGATTTAATTTTTGCAAAAACTGAGGTCAACGGTGCGGTGCGGTTTCTATCCTAAAAACCGGTCCATCAAAACCGAACCGCACCGCAAACGTCTATAGTAATAAATCAATCAATGTATATTATATACATTCTATTTAAAATAGTTATAAACGATAATATATTTATTATATGTTTATTTTATGTTTGTATAAAACTATATGGGGTGCAAAAAAAATGTTCTATTGTTAGCCAAACGTACTAATCAATTACATGTAATAAGCTTGTAACAAATTAAGTTAAAATCAACAAACATTCAATCATTAATTAGTTTGTGAGAGTGGTCACAAGTTGTATTTTAAGCGACTTACAATTTTTTATTATGTAATTTTGTTTTGAGTTGAAAATGAATGTATTAAAAAAAATAGCACAATACAAGCTTATATGCACATGGTTTTCAGTTCTTACAGTTTAAAAAAACCGCACAAAAAAACATAAAAAAAACTGCACCAAATTCTTAACACGGTTTAAAAACCGAAACCGCACCGATACAAACCGAAACCGCATTTAAAAACCGAAAAATCGAACCATTGCAAAACCGCACCCAACGGTTTTAAGAATGCAAAAACCGCACCATGCGGTTTGCGGTTCGGTTTGGTCTGAAAACCGCACCAAACCGCACCATGCTCACCCCTAATAGTTTTATCTAGGGATGAACATTGGACTTGGGGATCCGAAACCGGAACCCGATAGAACCGTTCGGTTCGGGTCTGGACCGGGATGATATTCTTGTGGATTTTTTGAACCGGGAACCGGTAGAACTGGCAAAAACCGGAACCATGTGTTGCTATTTCTCGAGGACCAGTTCTAACATTGAAGTGACGGTAAGAACCGGTAGAACCGGCGGTCCGGTTTGGTTCTTAATTTCGGCCGACTTCGGTTCCCGGGTCAAGTCCGGTTCGGGCCGGTTCCAACCGGATCGGTTTCTTTGCTCATCCCTAGTTTTATCAATTTAACTATAGTGTTTTATTTTTTTTTAACTATAGACTTTGTTTGCGTAAAGTGTTTAACCCTTTAATTTTTTATGATATGGGTATACATTTGATTTAAAGGAGGAAACTAATATATGTGTTAATTATCTATTTTTTTTTTAATTATCTACTAGGTATAATCATATATTATACAAGTGTATTAAAAAAATTAATATCAAATTGTAAACATTAGACAATTTTTAATTTAATACTTTTTTTATACTTTTGAATTTTACTACAACACAAATGACAGTAAAGGATTCTTATTTATTAGGATAGAAGATGAGCATGACATCATATTTGCATTTTTATCTCTTAATAGCAACATACATTCACTTGCATCACATAATGACATCATACTTTCATTTATAAACTTTCATCCGTATAAATCAAAGTCTACAAAACCTGTCACAACAATCTGTAAATTAAAAAAATCGATTGAAAGGATATAACAATGAATGGAATTACTCACATATTGTGTTGTGGTTCTTGGTATCTTAATGCCGATTTGGAGAGTTAGATATAACCTAGTTTTATAACAAATGTATTATGTTTTATAGTAGACATCTTCATAATCTGGCGATAAAACATAATATTATTAAACATAAATTCAACATTAAAACATTGGAAACCTTAATACTATACATTTATTTTTTTACTTATAAATTTTAAATAAATAATAAATTAATTGGAGTTTAAATTACTTATATAAAAGGTTAAAGGTGTGTTTTGAAATTGCTTTATTATAAGAGCGTGTTTTGAAATCCTTTTATTACATAATGAAATAACGAACATGATGGATGTACTATTCATAAAGTTCACAAACTCAAATTGTTCATTATATTAAATAAACGATTTAGTATGTATAATTCGTTTAGAAAAGGGATAATGACTTAAAAGTGTAATATATTATTCGATTTGTACACATTTAGTTATTGAGTTTTTTTCGTCCATAATTACCCCTTAAACTTGTTAAACTGTATACATTCAGTCGTTATAACCGGTTACTGAGGTTAGCCGGAAAATGAATTAATATGGTAATATATTTTTCAATTTGTACATATTTAGTACTTAATATTTTTATACAAATTTAGTCCTTAATATATATATATATATATATATATATATATATATATATATATATATATATATATATATATATATATATATATATATTATGCAACAACACAAAGATCCATGGATAGTTTATGCACATCATACACATTTATATACTCAAAATTATATAAAATAATTCTTTGTTTTTCTAAGACAACTTTTATAAAGAAAAAAAAGATACTTGTAAACTTTTAGTCATAGAGAAAACAATTATAAAGATTTTAAAGTTGTCATAGAAAATATGTACGGATTTTTCTTGCAAAGAGAAAACCATAAATGTTTTCCAAAAATAAGATTTCATCAACTTAGCAAAAGTTCTTACTAATCTTGCAAAAATGAATTTGATACCAAATTTCAAAAACATTAACATAGTAAAGGAAGACTTTGATTTGAACAAAAGAAAACTAGTTTTATTATTATCAAAAGATCATTTTGCAAGACTTAGAAATATAAAAACAACCATAGAAAGAAAAGTGTTACAATCTTTGAAGATTTTAATTCTCATAGGAGATTGGAAGTTGATGCAGTATGACATGAAACTTCAAGGTAGAAGTATTCTAGAGATATCTACCAATAGTAAATCAACTTGATAAGATGCTAGTCTTCTTCTTGTTATAAAAGAATTTCTTAAGCTCTTAAGACAAAGAAACTAGTTTGCCTTAAAAGAGAGTATTCAAGTATCATCTTCATCTTTATGTTCTTAACACTTTAAGAGACAAAAACTAGAGAAAATATAGAGATGAGAAGATGTAAATTTTGTGGTTTTCAATAGTGAAAGAATGGAGAAGCTAGAACTTTTAAGTCCTTACTTGAAGCCTTTATCTTATGGGTCATAGCACTTTATGACCTATGCTTTATCAAATCAACTAGTTATGCTTTCTAAGAGCATGGTATGTAGAATAAATTAATCAAAAACAAGTCTTCTTTCTTATTTATGGTCTTCTTGAATATTGTATAAAAAGAAGAAGCTAGTTTTCATATAAAAACTCTTCTAATTTTTATAATTTATAAAAGATATAAATCCATATAAGCCAAAAACCCTTTTTGTCAAAAAAAGATGTATATGACATAACAAATCATACCTTATGATATATTATGATATATTCTGATACTTAATATTGAAA